CATGGACTCTGAAACAGTCACTGAACTGGAATTTCTTTTATTGCCTTACTTTTGTTTTGTATTGATTTTTGTTTCTGATGTCTGATGATCTAATGAAAGAATGATTTACAACGTTAGATAGTTATGAATAACAATAATTACAATGCCACTGTCTTGGCTTTCTAGCCACGCCCTACCCTTGCGGACTGTAAATACTGAGACGGCGATTGACTTATAAAGCAATTAGTAGAGCATGCATCGTACACTAAATGAAAAATTATTATACTTTTTATACTTAAGTTAGATTTAATGCATTCAAAAAGTTTTTCAAGCATTAAATCTAACCTTCGTATAATAATTTTCCTATAGTGTAATCGGAAGAATATATTTCGCAAATAATTTTTAAATGTTTTAACAAAATTGAAATTTAGATTTAATATCTTTCTTTTTTAAATGAATTTTCAATTCCATTGCCATCTAATTTCAAAAGGAACTACTACTACCACATTTTCAAAAACGTTTCTCGTACCAAAAGTGTGTTAGTTGTAAGATGAAATTGTGTTCAATCCATTGGGATTTGGTTGTTTAACTGGCTGTGGTCCGGAATTTATTCCTGCAACATAATTTAATCAATCAAATTAATTAAGCAATCAAATTTAATTTTCATTCATTTATCAGGATTTATATGCACACATATCAGGAAGAATTGCAGGGGCGGCGCTAGTAGGGTCAAGGGGGCAAATGATCCCCCGTCAGTAAAGAATCACTTAATTAACACACAATTTTATTATCTTTTAATAAAAAAAAAAAAGTTCCCCGACAAAGTTAATTTTTTCGCCGAGAAATTCCAATTTCCTTTATCTGGGGAGAGGGACTAGGTTTCCGACCGGGACGGGAGTGCGCGTGAATCCTTTTGTTGGGGAATTCCTGGAGCAGCCCCTGAAGAACTGCAGAAGACGCTTTCCTCCTTGCTAATTGTAATTCTAACGTTTCAATACGTAACACATTGTTGATAACCGTAACTTCATGATATGTTACTTCATTTTTGTCGTCCCTAGCAATTGTAGCTTGGTATGCTATATGCTGCTCGTTAAACATTTCCCAGATAGGGGAACCATTCATTAGGGTTTTGGCAATTGTATAGCTTGCAGTTTGCTTCTGCCTTGTCATTGCTCAGTATGGTTTTATTATGGACAGAGATTATAGATCCCATATAAGACATGCAGCTATAGCTTATCTTGATAGTGTTCCTATTAAACATCTTTCTTAGTACATGATGCTGGGGTGTAGGGTAAGAATGGCCCAGGAAAAAATGGCCCGGTAAAAGTGGCCCCAAATGACAGGTAGGTAAAAATGGCCCCCACTAGTAAAAATCCGTATTAAAACTGATTTTTTTTTAATCATTATATGCATTTTTAAACTGAAATAATTTAGTTTTCAAAAGGAATTTAACATCAAATAAATTGCCATTTATATTTTACTTTTTGCAGGAATTACATATTCAAAGATAATTAAAAGATTTTAAAAAAAAAAGCATATATGTATATATGCTTATAAGCTGATATATATATATATATATATATATCCCCATACTGTAGCCCTCCTACACTGATCAGGGAAGAGCCCCACCCCTTCACCTTCGTCTCCCACATCAGCACCCTGCATTATGACTTCTAGATATGCCATTGTTCTTACTTAGACCATGGAGGAAATAAAACAACCTTAGACCTATAATAAGCAGCTTTCGATTTGAACGACGCGGCGCGCACGCCAATACATAGGGAAGTCGTTCGTTGTGTGGATTTGACAACGGGCTGCTTCAAGCGATTTGGCGTTGTGTTGACTGGCACGCTCGCTGGGGGCGCCTGCATAATTTTTCACGCGATACGAGGGAGGCAGCTTTGATGTTTAGACGGGAACTGCATAGTATGACGTTCATGGTTGACTGAATTCCCCGTCGAAGCTCCCCGCGTCGCCCATTTCGAAAGCTCGCTATTATATAATACTGCGTAGCGGTAATGAATACTGAAATATGTAGAATGTTCATTTAGAAACACTAAAATGTATTGTAACTGTTCCAGGGAATAATACATACTATACATATATTTACATTTCAATAGTACTAATTACTTCCTTTCAGGGAATACAATTGCAGTTGACACCTCCTGACCTACAATTCCCCTGACACGTCAATACCTATTGTATGGTTCTGTGACACCATATACATAACGCCCTGTCAACTTTAAATCAGACAATAATAAATCTACACACTGCAATTCTAAAGTTTAATAACTATAGTTATCATACAACATGAACTCTACCTTCGTTTATTGTCCTACATATTTGTTCTCTTACCGAATCTAATTGCAACGTTCTCATACTAGAGGGTAAGCGAACGCACCCTCTAGTAATGATGATGATGATGATAATATATATATTATATATATATATATATATATATATATATATACTGTCTCTTATACACATCTAAACAGAACAGAGTCTTCAAGGGCACATCCGGAGAAATCACCAGAGGCATAATCGGACCTTCAAGAGGAGGCACACCCGAGAGGTGCGGAGGAGTCACTCTGGAGAAAACAGGGAAACTGAACGGGAGTTGCGGAGGAGCCGTTCCAGGGGATGGAGAGCAAGAGATCTGTCTCTTATACACATCTAGATGTGTATAAGAGACAGACTCTACACTCCTTCCCACTACCATAAACAGAGGAGTGTACTGGGGTTTAAGTGTGTTGGGGAGTGGCAGAACTATTATTCGAAAGATGAAGGCACGTTGAGAGTGAGATTATGTAGGAGTCATTTTGTGATAGAAAAAATGCGACAAATTAATAGAAGTCTACTTTACTGCTCCAATTGTCTATAATTAATATACATGCATTTAGTAATAAACAATGAGTACATGGTATTATACCATGCCTGTCTCTTATACACATCTAGATGTGTATAAGAGACTATATATATATATATATATAAACACATAATACCTAATTTGCTTCTACACCGGCCCAACTCTACATATACACGTCAAATTTGAAATTCCCTCCACTCCTGAAGATTGCCTAGTGCATGAACCAGCCTGTAGAGTGAAATTACAAGTTCCTTATTATTATTACTATTATTATTATTATTAGTAAGCCGGTCAATGTCGATGCCGTCAAGTAGGGACTTGAAAGTGGCCAATGTAGGGGCACGTCTAACGCTGTCAGGGAGCAAATTTCATTCAGGAATGGTCCATGGGTAGAGCGATCGAAGGTAGTTGTTTTTATTGGGCAGGACTCTTCTGTAAATAAAGTGACCTGAAGATTGCCTGGTCAGTCTGGATAAAGGATTCTTCTGGAGGAGATGATCTATATTATAGGGATGAGTAATCTCCAAGAACTTCCATTCAAGTTGTTTCAGCATAGATAAACTGGAAGTTCCGGCATAGTCACGCAGTACAAAACGGACTGCTCGTCGCTGAATTTTGTTAATGTTTTCGATGTTACTTTTTTGTGAGGATCCCATAATGATCTGGCAGTATTCTAAATGTGGGCGCATCAGAGTTTTATATGCAATCTCTTTAGTTGATTTGTTACACCAGGTATGAAAGAAACAATCTATATCTGGCACATTAAAATCAAATAACAGCCAAACATTCGTTTTGGTTGGAATTTTTGATACAGAAAGGTCCAGTTCTTTTACATAGTCGGTTGACTGTGATCTGTAAAACGCGCCAATATAAACTGGGGACAAACGCTTGACACAAAAAGAAATCCACAAAATTTCACATTTAGTATAAGTTTAGGTTTAACCGAAGCAAACAGTGTGTTTCTGACAGCTATAAAAACAGCTCCACCACCTTTAGTCTAGCGATCTTGGCGAAAAACGTTGAAGTATGGCGGGAAAAGTAACGGATCTATTCAACCACGATCTGGTGCCTATCACAACATCAGGATTTTCCGTTGCCAGAACTGCTTTCAAATCGGGATGATATTCAAGTAAATCACTTTTGTTTTCTCAGCCTTGGTATTCTTATTTGTTTATGATCATCCAAATTACTAGAGTTAGGGTTCTGAGATCCATTACTCAACGTTTTAAAGCTATTTGAGAGTTGAAGTCCACAGACTTTCAAGGAATGTAGTTGAAAAATTAGGCATCCCACAATTATCTCACGACCAGGAGTAAGATGGGTGGTTTTTCAAAACATTGAGGATGTCGTCATCCATGGAACCAACCATTACAATAATGCTTGCTCAATGGATTTTGGCCTCACTTAGCGGCTTTATTACATATTTGGCAAGGGTACTTCAACGGTATTGGGCCGAGGTTGAGTTCAATATCTCCGGCAAGTAATGCAAGTAAACAAATCAGCAAAAAATGTTGTTTTTTTTTCAAAAACATATTTAAGTTTTTGGTTTTCATTTTCTCGTTTGGTGATTACAGATCTAGGAAGTCGTGTGCGTATGACAATGCCATCACAGTCGTTAGTATTTGGTAACCGGAAACAAATAAAATAAGTCAAAGAAGGGTTGCATATACATTGGGAGCAGCCCTCCCTTAAAAGACAATTACAACATTTAAATTGAACATTTTTCATCTGACTCATTTGCTCATCGTTATTCATGCTTCTTCTTCTGTATGGTTCAATTCCTTCACATTGCATGTTCCGCCTTTCCTTTTTTCTCATGTATTTCTTTATCTTTATTTATTTCTTTTTTCTTTAGTTCTCTTATTTATCATGAAATTTCATCGTATTTTTTAACTCCTATTTCTGTGTAAGCATATTTTTACACTGAAAATGGCAGTTGCACGGCTGAAACATGTTTGGATTCAGATTTTTATAACAAACCTGTTAAGCCTAACTTCAATGGTGTCGTTGAAATCTGTTGTAATTTTATTTACATTTATTGCATGTCTGTTGCTATCGTCTGTATATACAGCTACAGTCCTTCTAAATGTTTATGTCCATATGAAGTTATAATAGCAGGCTAATTAAACTTCAACAAATGTAAACAAAAAGAAACTTACTGCGCATATGTTATTTTTGGAGGCTGCTTGTAAACCGACTGCTCCCGAAGGAATGTACAGCTATAATGTGAAAAATGAAATTAAACAAATTGATAACATTTAACATAACTCTAGTTTTTAATTACTCCAGTATCATTTTGATTGAAAATTAAATATAGTAGGTCTGAATATTCAGTTCCTAAGCTGAAGCAAGACTCTTGTAGCATTGTCTGCCGAGTCTGACAGAAAAAACAAGATATCTTCTTCTCCGACTTGTAATACGAACAAACGACATTGACACTGTCATGTGTGGAGAGCGTGTTTATTATGGTAGTCATTTCTTCCACTTAAGCACACCCCTCAAAAAATTACTGCACCCCTCCAAGTTGCCCACTTCACCTTTGCCCATCTCCCCCTCCCACACCCTCCCACTTCAAGACTGCTAGATACGTCACTGGTCAAACTGCATATAAGATGCAAAAAAAAAATACCCAAAACAAATTAAAATGAAGTTATCAACTAACTAGTGCTTTAAATTATTCATATTCTTATTACTTACCAGTACATAAAATACATACGCAAATATTATTGATTCTAAGTACAAATTCAACATTCAGCAACCTCTACAGATTTCAACACATGAGACACTTCTGAGCATGTGCAGACCTTCTAACCTTTTAATTAGCATAACAATACCACACATAGGGCTGATTCCCAGAACCAGCCAGCTTCCTATCCTGGTAACAGTAACGTTATAAGTCCTTGACGTAACCAAAAGGCCCCAGTGGTCGAGTTGGTAAGACGTCGCACGCTAAGGGAAAGGTCCCGGGTTCGAGTCCCAGTGGGGGTATATATAT